TTTTAAATAATTAATCAATTAATTTAATTAATTACTTAATTAATATAAAATAAAAAAAAATAAACCCACCCCTAGCCACCCCCTCCCCTACCAAGACAACCCCTGCCAATGTCCGTCGGCGCCGGTGGTCCCCCTCCCCCTAGCCGGAAACCGGCGCCGGTCGCCGGCGAGGCCAGCCCCTCCACCCTGGACACCCCCTCCCCTACCCCCAACCCCCTCTCCCTTCGTTTCCCCTCCCCTTAAACCCCTCCCCATCCCTCGAAAAACCCCCCTCCTTTGCGGCCGACGCCAAACCCCTTCCCCGGCGCCGTCGAACCTTTTTCGCCCCACCCCCCTCCATCGCCGGGGAGGGGGTTTGGACGGCAGCCGCGAAGGAGGGGGGTTTTTCGAGGGATGGGGAGGGGTTTAAGGGGAGAGGAAACGGAGGGAGAGGGGGCTGGGGGTAGGGGAGGGGTCGGGGTGTCGAGGGTGGGGGGGATGGCCTCGCCGGCGATCGGCGCCGGTTCCGGATGGGAGCTGGCGGTTGCTGCCGCTGCCGTCTGGTAGGGACTGGTGGTGGGGCGGGGTGAGTCTTGGGGGTGGTGGGGGTATTTTTTTAAGATTTTTTTATATTTTTAAAGTTTTTAATTTATTTATATTACAACAACCAATTAGAGGTTGCCACGTGGCATATTAGTCATTAATGACTAACGGTGTTAACCGCCGTTAATCATTAAGGGCATTTGGTGAAATTTTTTTAAACTCAGGAGTATTTGGTGAATTTAAAAGTTTTGAAGGGTATTTGGTGAATAAAAAAATTACTCAGGGGCATTTCATGAAATTTCCGTATTTAAAATCAAGACATTAGTCAGATTATCAGTCAAATTAATCTTCCATTGTAATTCTGCTATTTGGGCCCCAGTAAACGGCTAAAAAGCGGTTACTTTTTTCCTTTTATAAATCATTTCCTTTATAACTCAATTTAGCATCCCAACTTCAATTTCTTCATAAATTCCACATATTGGACCTCAATTGTAACTATAGAAGCAACAAAGAATAAACTTATTTTAGAGTTTTATGAAATAGTCTTTGTAGGCGTCGTTTGAAGTGCGCCTAAAAGCATGTGTGAATATGCTTAGCACTCATAGGAAGTGGGAATTGACACAATACGATTAGGGACAAGGAAAGTAGGGAGCCGCCAACAAGTTTTTTAGGAACTTGTAAACCGTTCACGGATCATAAAAAGGCAACCACAATAAAGGGACAACGATAGGCAACAACGATTGACCCGTGAAGGTTACACCCCATTCATAATCCATGAGATTACTAACTCCATATGGTTCGGAACCACGAAAGGAGGATCGGGGATGATGGTACGAAGTGAGTCATGGAGTCACATTCGCCCGTATTGTCCTCTACTCGATTCTTATAGTGAAAAGTGATTCCTACGATCTCAAAGGCATACAAACAAAGATTCAATTTGCTCCAAACTATTATTATGCTAAATTGGTTGAATACTAATGCAACATATAATTCTATAATATCGTGATCACTTGATTAAACAACAAGATTAAAAAGGAACCTAAACCGGTCGTCCAAATTATCTTATTAGGCGTGATTTTCAATTACATATTCCCTTTAAACATGCAATGTGGTGATCATAATAATAATAGAATATACATTAATATTGGAAGCAATTTAACCATAATAACGTTAGTCAAATCAAATATAAAATAAACTAATCATGATGCTAGAAATATAAAAATAAAATAAGAGTAATTAAACTAATTAATTACTCACATTTTGCGCGTTCCTTTAAATTGCTACATCATGAATTAACTGTTAGTAACTTCAATAAAAATATAAAGCAAATGAAAATTAAATTAAATAAATATAGAGTTGATTTGGTCCAAACCCTTAGTTAATTATACCTTTCACGCCTTGGTTAAAGTATAGAACTTTGGGTATTGTATGAACTCCTTGGAGTATTAAGGGGAAGAATGGTGTAATTAGGAATATAGGTTTAAGGCTTTGCATATGAGAGAGAGAGAGAAGAAGAATAATTTTTGGTGTCAAAGAGAGAAAGAGAGAAGGATTTGATCATCAAGCTTGTTGATGATTGGAAAAGGGGTGATATGACCTCTATTTATAGAGAAAAAAGAGAGGTCGAAAAAACAAGATAAGATCCGAATTAAATCGGAATGAAACTCGATAGACAACAGTTTTTGCGGTTTTTGTTTTTAGGGTTTTTCTAAGCTATGCCCCTAAGGTATTCGAGTTTCTAAGGTGTACCCATGCTTTTTCAAGTTTCTAAGTTGTGCCCTTCAACTCCTTATGAATACTAAAATGTACCCTTATTAGTTGTTTAAATGTTATTTGAGAGTGTGATTTCGTGGCTTCAGTTTTCATTATTAGGGTTGCGGTGGCTAAGATTTCTTTCTCCTACCATTTTCCTACCTTTTATCATCTTTCTATTAAATTTATAGTTAACTTTAGGTGACGTGGAAGTCCCAAGGTGGGTACCATTCATCAATGGTAGTAAGTTGAGGGGCACAACTTAGAAACTTGAAAAAGCATGGGTACACCTTAGAAACTCGAATACCTTAGGGGTATAGCTTAGAAAAACCCTTGTTTTTATCATATCTTTTGATCCAGAAATCGGAATAAGATGAATAAGATATCGTTGGAAAGCTATTGAAGTCTAATTTCTACCCCAATAAGAATAAGATTAAAATATTTTATAAAATAAAATATATGGCCGAAATAGTGAGACGGTATCAGTTTTGATAGAGTTTTACATTTTATTCATATCTTTTCCGTTATAGCTCGGAATTGATATTATAATATATTATTGGAAAGATAATTTCAAGGGATATCCAACCATATAAAATTTGGATAAAAAATATGAGGCACGAAAATAATATCTGCTTATCTTTGAACGTCTTTTAATTCGGATAGAAATAGGACTTTCAAAAGGAAAAGTTTTATTCAATTTCAAACTCTTTAATCTTATCTTTTTAAAAAAGGATAATTAAGATCTTTTAGAAACTTATAGAAGTTTCTAATTAATCCTAATTGATTTAGAAATGGGATTAAATAATTTGGACCCTCCACATGATCATTGGGTCGTAGGTAAGGTGGGCTTAGGTTCGGTTTAGGCTCAGTTTAATATTTCGGCCATAACTTATTCGTTATAACTCGGATTTGGGCTTATAATATATCGTTGGAAAGCTCTTTCAAATCCCCATCCAACTATTTAATTATGGACCTAGATTATGGACTTAAAATAAACAGGATTAAACGTTTTTATAAAAAGGACACGAAATGAATGATTTTAAAGGACACGAAATGAATTATTTCGGGTTTAAAGGCACGAAAAGATGAAAAAAAGTTATTTTTTGGAAATGGGCTAGGAATTGGATTGGTTTATGAAATGAAAATATGGATTTGAATATGGATTTAAGCACTCCAAAGATTAAATACTAAACCCGACCAATAATGGCGGTGAAAGGTTGTTCATCATCGGGTTTGGTTTTGGGGAGACATTTTTAGGTGTCTACAGTCTTAGAGTTCACTTGGAGTTTTGGATAAGGACTAAAAAAATATAATAATCAGAAATGTACTTGAGGTACTAGATAAGGACCAAAAAAATGTAATAATAAGAAATAGAAATATATTTAAAAAGTATTTTTTTTAATATTTTTTATTTGTTTATAAAACCAATATTTACTCATACATTTTGCATGTTTTTGTTTTTGGTATATTCTCTCTCCTAAAATAAACTTTTTTTCAATATTCCTCAAATATGCAAAACAATTCTCAGTTTTCAACTTCATCAAACGATCCTCAATATTTCTCAAGTATGCAAAACAATTCTCAGTCCTCTACTTCATCAAACGATCCAGAAGAAAATGCAATTGATAACTTTGAAAAAAAATTAAATGATCTTTTGGATAGAAGAGATAGAGTGAATAATGGACTGATGAAGCTCTATGAAAAAGTGGAAAAGAATGAAATCAAAGAACTAAGCAAGAGAAAGAGAGCACAAGAGATATGGCAGGAAACGCAGAACAAAAAACAGAAAGAAGAAGATCAACACAAGAAGGAAGAGAAAGAACAAAAAGAAGATCAAAAGAAAAAAAACAAGTTTAAAATATCAAGAAGAACAACAAGAAGATTATGATTTTAGGATTTTTTTCTTTATCTTTTTTTTTTTTTGTTAACTTCTAATCACAATCAATATCATTAAAATATATGGAAAATATGATATGCTTTTATGTTTATGTTTTTGTATTTGCTGTTTTTATTATCAAAAGCTTTATTCAGATATGGTTTAAAATGATATGGTTTTGTTGGTTTTTATTCAGATATTGGTTTTTTTTTTCTTGAATTTATAATTTTTCGTCAGGAATAATATTATTTTAGTCAGGAATTTGATTTAATTTGTCATGTACTCGTTATTTATTTCAGAAATAAAATAAATTACCACAATCAGGATTAATTGTTAAAGTTAGAAGTTGTATAAAATAAAAAGGAATAAGAATATTTTACTCAGTAATTATAACATTTTGCTCAGAAATTTACTTAGAATTCAATTAAATACATTTTTAATTAGTAATGACTTAATTTCGTTTAGGTATTAGAATACTTATATTAGGATTAAGGATCTTGCTATCATGAATAAGATTTTGTCAATCAGGATTAAATAATTTGAACTTATTAATATATCTTAGTCAGGTATTGCCTTTTTTTTTTATCAGAATTAATATTTTTTGATCAGGAATTATATTACATTAAGTTATACAATACATATATTATGAAGCTGAAACATAAATTGTTATTTAACAATTAAATAGTTCTTAGAAAAGTTAAAACAGGTTTAAGATATATATCAGGAATTAGATAATTATAGTCAGGTATTGATCTATTTTTATCAGTTATTAAGTTATTCTAATCAGGAAACCATATATTATGAAGACAAAAATTCTTACCTCTGGTATGGCGTTACTCATTGCAAGATCCTAATCCGTAAAGATTGATTTTGGTTCGATTCCACACATTGACTTTTTGAAAATTTTAAGAAGCCAAACAAATGTATCAGTCTTTTCATCACTTATGAATGCACATCCAAACATTGTTGTTCTCCAGTGACAGTTTATACCAACAAACGGTGCACATATCAACCCATATTTGTTTGTTCTGTATGTTGTATCGAAGATTAAAAAATCACCATAGGCTTTGAAATCTTCAAGCATTTGAGAGTCACGCCAAAAATAGCTCATCACATTGTTTTCTTCTCCAAATTTCAGTCTATAAAAGAATGAAGGATCATTATCTGCTCTCTCTTGAAGGGTATCTAATACATTCTGCATGTCTCCACTTTCAACCATACTCATTTTCACCCTTGATACATAGTTAAGGTGGTCTCTCTTAGTATGACCTACACATTCTTCTCCTCCAGCTTCATTGGTGATATAATTGTAAGCATCCATTGGTTTGATACCACTTTCAACCATGCTCTCAATTAGTTCACCCATTGGAGCTGATATTTGCCTTTCTGAACTTAGATGATGTCGTTGAACTGCTATAACCAATTCATGATTATGCTCCAACTCATGTGTAACAGCTTCAAATTTCCTTCTTTGTTTTTCTTGAAACGAATATGAGCTTTGCATCCAGTTCTTGTCTCATTTACCTCCCTATCTTTTCTCTTTTTTCATCAGTTTTACCAAATATGGGTATTTCCACTGAATTTTGTTCACCTGCTATCTTCATTTTACCCTTTTATGTCCTTCCTTAGAACATCTAAAATAAAACTCAAACAATTTATCATTGGTATCTCTTCTCTTTGTTGATTTTCTGACACTTAAACCAATAGATCTTGAATGAGCTTTGTATAACACATATCCCTCATTGTAGTCTGATACTGTATAACTTGCTAGACATCTACCTATGTTTTCATCCTTGTCATATTTGTAATAATCTGCAACGAAAGTATACATATGAATCATATCATAATTTATTTTTGTCAGGAATTACAATATTATAGACAGTAAATAAATATTTTTTAAATTTATAATACTTAAGAATTACCATGTCTTAGTCAGGAATTTGATTATTTAAATCAGGAATTACTAAATACTAGTCAGGAAATAAATCATCTCAGTCTGGTTTAGGATTATATTAATCAGGAAACAGGTAATATTGGTCAGGAATAAAATTATATCATTCAGAAATAATAATATTTGTATCTGTGTATAATATGTTGTTCATTGTTCATTATCTTCAGGAATTAGATTATTTTTGTCATTTATTAGATTTGTTTTGCAGGAATTAAATTATGTACGTCAGGTATTAAAATATTTTGATTAGGAATTAATTTGAATATATCAGGAATTAGATTGTATATTTCAGGAATAAAATTGTTTCAATCAGAAATTAAATTGAAACAATTTTATTAATCTAATTTCAGTCACAAAAAATAGTCAAAATATTACTCAAAAAATAGTCAAAAAATTGTTTGAATTAGAAATTAGATTATAATAGTTAGGAATAAAATTATCTCAGTCAGGAAAATAGATAATAAATTACTGAGGACATAAATGATATAGTCAGGTTTAAGATAAAAATAGTTAGTTAGATTATTTCATACAAGAATTAGAATTTGAAAAGTCATGACCTTCCCGCTTCCAAAACATAAACACTCACTACACTAAAAAAACACGTAAAATCATTTACCAGACATAAAAATTAATTGAATAAAATGAAATGAATTTACTAGAACAGAGGTTAATTATAAATGAAAAAGACATATTTGAAAAGGCATGACCTTCCCTCTTCCAAAACACTGCACCAATTCACGTTCTAAACATTATATATAAGAAACCATAGTGTACAAGAAACTATATTCAGAAAAAAAAAAATTATTGCTTACAAGAATTAGAATTTGAAAAGTCATGACCTTCCCTCTTCCAAAACATAAATACTCAAAAAACACGTAAAATCATTCACCAGACATAAAATTAATTGAATAAAATGAAATGAATTTACTAAAACAGAGGTTAATTATAAATGAAAAAGACATATTTGAAAAGGCATGACCTTCCCTCTTCCAAAACACAGCACCGATTCACGTTCTAAACATTATATATAAGAAACCACAGTGTACAAGAAACTATATTCAGAAAAAAAAATCCATATAAAACTATAAATTGATTCAGTTTGAATTTTAATTAATTTTATAAGAATATAACTACTGCTACTACAAAAGGTATATTTTTTTCATATTATGATCATACATTTGTTAGTTTATTTTATTTTGTTTTGTTATGATTTATGTGTTTATTTTGTTTTGTTTAGATGCCTAATAAAATTGCACACCCAATTGATGCCTTAGAAGATGCACATCCAGCACTAGCAATTGAAGAGATATTATGCATGCATATTTTCCCTAGGTGCACCTTCAAAGCCAAGGGGATGATTAATTTTACATGTAAATATTATAATGAATTATGGTATTATAAATTTTGGATTCCATAAACAGTAAGAAGAATCATAATTCAAATGAATGGTGGGTTGCATATGACATTATGAGGCATAATGGTTATGGTTTTCACAATGGCATGGTGCAAGACTGGGTTGAATTTCTTGATGGATTACGTTTAATTTTTGTGGAAGAAGAAGCCAACAAGAGAAAGAGAAAAAGAGAAGAGGCAAGCCAACCAAGAAGAGAGGCAAAAAAGAATTAAAATAGAGGATGTTATTAGTAGCTTATCTTCAATGTTATGCACTTTATTATAATTAAAAAACATAACATTTCAGTAATATGTAATTTTTTGTAAATTTAGTTGATGTTATTTTATTTTTTGTTTTGTATGACGTTATAAAGTAATTAAATGTGTTTTGAAATTTATAATACTCAGGAATTAGCATATCTTAGTCAGGAATTAGATTTTTTAGTCAAGTATTAAAATATATTAGTCAGGAATAAAATTAACTCAGTCAGGTTTAAGATAATATTAGTCAGGAAACAGATAATAATAGTCAGGATTTGTATTATCAATATTATATACAGTAATTAAATGTTTTTAAAATTTATAATACTCAGGAACTAGCATATCTTAGTCAGGAATTAGATAATGCTGGTCAGAAAACAGATAATAATAGTTAGTTTTAAGATAATAATAGTAAGATATATTATATCATAAAGGAATTAGATTTTTTTTATCAAGTCAGAAATTTTTTTTTGGTTAGAAATTACAATATATTAGTCAGGAAATATATTATCTTAGTCAGGAAATAGATAATGATGATTAGAAATTATAGGAATTGAAAAAAAAAGAAATAATATTAGTCAGGAAATAAATAATGATAGTCAGGTTTAAAATAATGATAGTCAGTTTTAAAATAATAATAGTCAGGTTTAAAATAATAATATTCAGGCAGGAATACTAGATTTTTTAATCCAGTCAGAAATATTTTGAAATTGTCAGGAATTAGATTATTTTCACTAATTTCCATATAAATTTTTTAGGAAATAGGTTTCCATATGAATAAAATTAACTCAGTCAAGTTTAAGATAATATTAGTCAGGAATTATATTGTCTGCAACTACATCAATAAATTACAGAGCATTTAATAATTTTACAGAACATTTAATTATTAGTATACCTATTATACTTGCAGCATCTTCATCTCTTTTTTCATCATCTCTTTCTTCATTGATATTGTCTTCTAAAATTACATTATTTGTTGCATTCATCATTAGTGTTAGTATATTTGAATTTCACTCTAAAATTATAAAAAAAAAATGGATTCAAATTAAAATTAATTTTCTGCGACATGTAATATATACAATTCGAATTAAAATAGCTTTGCATGCAAATCCTAAGTTGAAATTAAATACGATCTGAAATTCGATTGGAATATAAATTAAGCCTGATTTCAAATTATAAGTCGAAATTAACTAGATCTGAAATTTGATTGGCGTTGATTGCAAATAATAAGTCAAAATTAACTCGAATTTAAATACGATCTGATATTAAATCGAAATTTAATAAGACCTGAAATTCAATTTTGCTTGCATGCGAATTATAAGTCGAAATTCATATTTCAAATTCACTATGATACAATCTGAAATCATGAACTAAATTATATGTAATTTGAAATTAATTATATATGATTCGAAATTACAAACAATTAAAATTATGAACTAAATTGTACCTTTTCAGCAGTAATTCAGCTAGAAATTGATTCTATAGGTGAATCAGAATCTCCTTCAATCATCATTATATTGTTTGATTTCTCCATTTTTTTATGAAATTTGAAGATTTGAATTCTCTGAAATTTGAGGAAATGAAGTGGTTGAAATTCGACGAAATGAAAGCGTTCGAAATTTTTAGTGAATGACGGCGCTCGAAATTTTATGAAAATGATGAAAACGAAATATTCAGACACTTTATAAAATGGCGCGCGGGCTTTGGTCGGGTTGATCAGGCCCGCGCCTTTTAAATTAAGGAGCTCGGACTCACGTGAGTCCAGTTTCACACAAAACGCTTTGTTTTAATGAAGAATTAAAAATAAAAGAAGAGTTAGAATATGAATTGTCATCCTTGATGCTTGTATGTGAAAAATCCCTATCCAATGTATGTGTTGAGGATGATGATGATGATTTTGAGCAACCAAGAGAGGGTGAGGATCCCTTTGATGAGCATTTTAGTGATGGTGAAGGAGTTCAAAACCAAGAGAGTGTTGAATTTGATTATCCTAACCCTCCTTCCCATTGATGAGTCTCTTGTGCATGATTGTGATTCTTCTATCCATGAGTATCTAGACTCGTTTGAGGTTATGTCCAATGCGTTCTTTGAGAGTCAAAAGAAAACCCATAGCCTTTTAAATATGTTCATTGAGGATGCTTCATGGGAGAGAGATGAGTTTGAAATGAATTTGCATCCATTCATGCATGGTTTTGAGACCTTGGGCTTTAAAATTGTTGAGGGAGTTGTTTTTCAGAGTTGTGATGGAGGGGATTATGTAGTTCCTCTTGGAAGTTGGATGTTTGAGGGATATGGAGATTATGAGTGTTCTTCTTTTGAGGACTCTATGATTAATTTCCATGCTCTTATTGGTGATTTGAGGCGTGGAGGTGATAAAGATTTCATTTGTGAGACCATAGCCCACATTCATTCTTCTCATGTCTCTTTTTTAAGGAGATTCAACCATATCCCTTACATTCCTATTTCCCTCTCTTCTTTTGTCCATAAGCCTATTGGGGACCCCCTTGTCTATGATGATTTTTATGTGGCTCATTTGTCCCCAATTGAGGGAAAGGGTGATGTTGCCACCCAAAAATATTGTGAGGAGAGTTTGCCTTCTTCTTCCTCTTATTTTGTTGAATTTTCTTTTGATTCTTCTTCCTTTTCTTGGCATCTCTCTCCTCATAGGTGTGCACTAAGCTTGTTGCATGCCTTATTTTTGTCATGTGCATACTTGCTTTCATATGAAATGTGTAGTAGTGCCTTTAATAAGCTCTTGCGTGCATTGAATTATTATTTTCTAGAGCGGTCAAGCTTGGACCTTAAGCAAGCCTTTCTTGGGAAGTAACCCGTGTTTATTGCTTTCGTTTTCTTCTCTTTTTAGAATAGATTTTCTGTCATGGAAATGTTTGTGTGCCTTT